CTGCAATTGCCTGAAAGCTTCAGCAGAATGTCATGGGAAGTGCTGAAAATACCCCAGCATTTCTCCTGACCTTTCTTTTCTAGCAGAACTAATCCCACCAGGAATTCTAGACCAGGGTGCCATTTCAAGCCAGGTTTGTATTTTCCAGACAAGCAGGGATTTGCCCCATTTGGATGGCAAGGGAGCCATTCCTTCAGGAAGGAGGGATCCTCCCCCTCCTGGCTGGGTCGTGGCACTCACATATTTCCCACCAGGCAGATGCTGCATGAGTGACCCTCAGTTATTCCTTGGAATGAGCTCTCCTCTCCCAGGTCACTTGCAGGAGTCTGCAGCACCCATCTTTGACTCCTTCCTTGAGCTCTTGCACTCAGCAGCTCCAGTTTAGGAAGATTTCCCTGACTCTGGAGTATTTTTCTCTGGATTATGCAGCCATTACTCAGTTGTACATTGAATAAAACCCAACAATAACATTCTTCTGGAAAAAAAAAAAAATAAGCCAAAGGCTTCTTTAGTATTGCTCAGAGCAGTGGATTATCCTAGAGATCTGGAATTGCCCATTCCTGAAAACTCCTCCTTTGGGAGGCAGTTCCATGGGTTTTGCTGCGCTTGCTGCTGGCACTGAAGCATTTCTGCACAAACTCTTGCAATTGTGCAGATGTGGGCACTCCTGAGGGGCCTTAAAGCTCACCCAGATCCACCCCTCCTGCCATGGGACACCTTCCACTATCCCAGGTTGCTCCAAGCCCTGTCCAGGGGACACTTCCAGAGATGGGGAAGCCAGAAATTCTCTCAGAATTCCATTGCAGCACCTCCCCAGCCTCACAGGGAGGAATTCCTTCCCAATATCCCATCCCTCCCTGCCTCTGGCACTGGGAGCCATTCCCTGTGTCTTGTCCCTCCATCCCTTGCCCAAAGCCTCTCCCCATCTTTCTTGAGGCCCCTTCAGGCACTGCAAGGTCACAGTTTGGTCACCCTGAAGCTTCTCCCAGCTGAACAATCCCAGTTCTCCCAGGCTTTCCCTTAGGAGAGGTGCTCCATCCCTCTGAAGCGCAGGCTGGTTTTGGGAAGAGCCCTCAGGTACCTCCAGAGCCATCCTGAGGAGTTTCCCTTGCAGCACAATTCCCTGGGAGGATCTCAGAGCAGGAGATGAGTCAGAGGAACCGCCCAGATTTCCTTTCTTCCCCATATCCCCTCGAATTTGATACAGGGAATGAGATGAGGTAACTCCTGTTTCCATAACCAGTCATTCCTACTGAAATTCCATCTGCACTCAAACTGCCAATTAATTATGATTCTAATTAACCTTTGCACGTGTGCTGGTTTCAAGTGGGTTTTCAGTGGAAATCTGTGTTTGGATTTGATGCATTTGACATCATTGTTCAGGGCCTGAACCATCCCTGCCAGAAATCAAAGCAAAGCCACACTTTGCCATCACTCCTCTCACTCCACCCGACCATGGCAGGCAGGAAAAGGAACATTTTGGGGACATTTAGGTGGTTCCAGGTTGTGTTCCTGCATTTCTCCAGGACAGGAAGGGAATCCTGACCGTGGCAGGCAGGAAAAGGGACATTTTGGGGACATTTAGGTGGCTCCAGGTTGTGTTCCTGCATTTCCCCAGGACAGGAAGGGAATCTCAGATCTGGGATGGTTTATTCTTCTTATGCAATTAAATAATGCCCCTGCTAAAACCACAGTCTGGGATTCTCCTTTTGGTTTTCCCCCACTCTGTGGAGCTGAAATCAGTTTCCTTTTCCATGCCTGGGATTTTGGGGGATTTCCAGGAGGTGCTCCCTGTTCAATGGCTCTGCTGGGGGTTCCCTAATGAAGCTTTGACAGATTTAAGGTCGATTTTTGCAAGGTTCCACTCAGCACTCCCAGAAATGCACAGCAGGGACAGTTCCTCCACTCTGAACTGCTTTGATTTATGCTGAATTTATTTTCATATCGGCGCATTTCATGTCAGAAAGAAATAACAAATTTAGGCAATGGATGCTTTTTATTTTGTTTTACTTTTACCCAACACACTTTTATTCCCAGAACAATTAATTGGGACATTAATGGGAATAAAGCACTCGAAAGCTCTTGCAGTGGGATTTGCTGCAAGGCCTTATCCCACAACCCTGCATTTCCTTCAGAGTGGAATATTTGAGCCACTAAATGAATGTTTTTCTGGCATTAAATGCAGGAGATGGTTTTAGTTTAAGGCTCCAAAAGTTTCAGACTGAAAAGAATCAGGGACAGGGAGTTATCTTTTTGAAGAGAACTCTTATCAGCAGAGCTTCTTATCATTTGGAGGAGCTGTGTTTGTCATTTGAATGTGTTTGGCCATCAGTGTCCCAGGGTTTTCAGCTTCCAGAAACATCCACTCCTTCTGGGATTCCAAACCTCACTTTGGTTTAAAGAAACATCCCCTTTTATTGCATTCCTGCTGTAGAAATGGGGAAAAAACATGGAAAAAAGGCACCAAAACCCAATATATCTTATTTTTGAGATTTTTATAGGTAGGCAAACACATATGCTTGCTCAGATTAATAAAAGAGCTCACAACAGTAGCAAGAATGGTTCAAAAAGGGGGTTTAGAAGGTTTAAAATGGGGTTTAGCAGGTTCAAAGGATGTGATAGGAATTTAAACATGTTTGAATAATTTTGGAAGAAGTTGAAAGAAAATTTCTTATATTTTATTCTTTTTTGAAAAATTCCCTTTCATGCCTTGGCAGTTCAATGTTAAATGGGAATTATTTGTTATGAGATAAAATGGACTTGACATGGAAAGAAAGAGAGCAGAGAAAGTAGCTGGTTTCCATTATCAATATTCATTTTATTATGTTTTGTGTGGTAAACACCTCACTGAAGAAGGGTCAAAATAGAAAAATTTGGGAGATCAATTGTTTACATGTCCCAAATCCCCAAGACTTTGAAGAGAGTATGACAGAGGGGAGAAAAAGGGGGAGAGGAGAGGGAGGAACCTGAAGAGAAAGGCAGAGATTCAGGTCAGTGGGATGACACAGGGGGGGAATCCCAGAATCCTGGGATGGTTGGGTTGGAGGGGACATTGGGGTCACCCCATCCCACCCCATGTCCTGGACAGGGACATCTCCACTCTCCCACGTGCTCCAACCCAAACTCTGCCAGGACTCTGTGCTCGTGGGGTTGTTCAGGCACTCCCAACCCTTCTGAATATTCCAGCTGAGAAATAAATGAGAGAAAAATCATTTCAAACCTGCAGGGGATCAGTGGGACAAAGGGTGATCCTGACAGCATGGGGTGCTTCCAAAACTAATACTGTGGGAGGAGAGAATTCTGCTTATTCCTTCAAATCAGATGGGGACATCCTTGAGCAGCTTGGTGCTGGTGCTGTCCCAGAACACCCAAGATCCCAATAAAATCCTGACAACACCCTGGAGGTCATTCCTGGAGGTCACCTCCTCTTCCTCCCACGCTCCCCGGGGAAATTCGGGTGCAGCCCCTCGTCCATGGCCACCCACCCTCAGATCAGCTGAGAAATCATCCTTTGGTCAGCAGAACCTTTGTGAACAATGTTATTTTTTGCTCTTTGTTCTCTTCTTTTGGTTTAAAAGATTCCTTTTGTTCGTTGTGTTCAAATGTTTAGAAATCCCTCATTTGTGGCTCATAAAAGTTAAACCTGGATGTGGAGCTGAGTTTGAGAAATGCAAGGGGGACTTGTTATTTTTTTATATACATTTATTTTATTCTGATTTTTGTTTCAAGAAGGGAATTAAAATGAGTTTATCCCAAGCCCATTTTTAAGTGCTTTGAGATGGATAAGTTTTTCTGTGAGGGACTTACTGTCTTCTCCAGCCAAATGCAGATGGGATAAACATAAGCATTAATTAGGAATTCCTAAATCTACACCTTCCTATTGATAGGAATATAAACATTGCTGTAATGAATGCCTTGGCTGTGGGAAGGAATATTTTGGATTTGGGTGTTCATGCAGGAAAACCTTGCTCAGTGATTTCTGATGGTATCACACTCACTGCAGGATCTGTCACTCTGTCCTAATTAACTTGTCAAAATTAACATAATTATCAATCCCACAAGACCAAATGCATTGAGCATCCAGTATGGGAATCCATGTGCTCTGTGTTTTGTGGGAAACCCTGCTGGGAGCAGCTGGGACTGAGGGACAGCTTCTCTTGTGGTTCCTTTAGTGGGTTTTGGTGTCGGATCTGGATTTGTTTGGGTGGTTTATGGGGTGTTCCTGGTTGGATTTCTCTGGGTGTTCATGGGGTGTTTCTGGTTCTGTTTGTTTGGATGGTTCATGTCATGTTTCTGGTTGGATTTGTTTAGAGGTTCATGGGGTGTTTCTGGTTGGATTTCTCTGGATGGTTCATGGGATATTCCTGGTCTGGGAGATGGCCTGACCCAAATGTGAAGACAGTTAACTACATTTTATATGGAGTTCAGAGCTGTGCACTTATGCAGTACAGGATTTGAAAAATACAAAAATCTTAAGGCATCAGCCCTGCTGGGCAGGGAGCTGGGACCAGTTGCTCTCTGTGCTCCTCCTGATGCCTTGAGAGGCTGCCTAGAACAGGGGCTAGGCAGTATTAAAGGAATAAAATAGACATTTATTAAAAGGTCTTCAATGGATACACCTTGGGCAGTACAAGAGCCCAGCCAAGGCTACCCCCGAGTTTTCACACTTTTATAAGATTTGGTCCATTTCCATATTGGGGTTAATTGTCCAGTCACAACTCCAGGTTATGCAGTCCCATCCTCCCAGTTTGCTCTCCTCCATTCCCTGTTGTTTGCCCTTTTTGGGCCTGAAGCTGCAGCAGTGTCCTTGGTTCTGGGCTGGAAAAGAATTGTTCTGTGTGACTGAGCTGGGAGAACTCACTAACACTTTATATGGAGTTCAGAGTTGTGAACTAATGCAGTGCAGAGCCTGAAAATAGAAAAGTTAAAACCTAAACATCACTGGCAGCCTGCCTTGGTGGCATTCCCAGCCCTCACCCGTCTCTCCTGCCCTCCCACAGGTGCTGCAGGGGGCTCAGCTGATCGCCGTGGCCTCGGCCGAGCCCGCGGCCGGCGGCGTGGACGGCTCCCCACTGCAGGGCAGCGACATCCAGGTGCAGTACGTGCAGCTGACCCCTGTGACCGACCACGCTGCCTCCAGCCAGGTATGAGCCACCCCTCCTCCTTCTCCTTCGAGTTCTCCTTCTTCTCCTTCTTCTCCTTCGAGTTCTCCTTCTTCTCCTTCTTCTCCTCCTTCTCCTTCGAGTTCTCCTTCTTCTCCTTCTTCTCCTTCGAGTTCGAGTTCTCCTTCTCCTCCTTCTTCTCCTTCTCCTTTTCCCCTTCTCCTCCTTCTCCTTCTCCTTCTCCTTCTCCTTCTCCTTCTCCTTCTCCTTCTCCTTCTCCTTCCTGTTCTCCTTCTCCTTTTCTCCTTCTCCTTCTTTCTCCTTCTCCTTCTTTCTCCTTCTCCTTCTCCTTCTTTCTCCTTCTCCTTCTTTCTCCTTCTCCTTCTCCTTCTCCTCCTCCTCCTTCTCTTTCTCCTTCTCCTTCTTCTTCACCTCCTTCTCCTTCTCCTTCTCCTCCTTCTCCTTCCTTCTCCTTCTCCTTCTCCTTCTCCTTTTCTCCTTCTCCTTCTTTCTCCTTCTCCTTCTCCTTCTTCTTTCTCCTCCTCCTCCTCCTCCTCCTCCTCCTCCTTCTCCTTCTTCTCCTTCTCCTTCCTTCTCCTTCTCCTTCCTTCTCCTTCTCCTTCTCCTTCTCCTTCTCCTTCTCCTTCTTTCTCCTTCTCCTTCTCCTTCTTCTTCTCCTTCTTCTCCTTCTCCTTCTTCTCCTTCTCCATCTTCTTCACCTCCTTCTCCTTCTTCTCCTCTCCTCTCCTCTCCTCTCCTCTCCTCTCCTCTCCTCTCCTCTCCTCTCCTCTCCTCTCCTCTCCATCATCCTCATCTTCCTCTTTCCAAACCATAAAACTCATAATTTATAATAAGAAACATCATTTTTTGAAGGTAGAAATGATCCTTGACTGCTCCTGCTTTGCTGTCCTTGCTTAGTGCCTCTGGAGAAGTTATTTCGGTCACTGGTGTGTCCCTGAAGGCTGAGAGCCTCACAAAGGACAGCACCAAAAATGTGGCTGCAATCAGCCAAAAAGTATTTTCAGACTGAGGTTTCCCTCAGAAAGGTCATTCCTGTTCTGACAGCAGTTTTCCAGTTGTTTTGATCAACAGCAAGTCCAGTTGGAAGTGAACACTTGATCCTCTCTGCTTGAGGAGGAATTATGGGGGTTTTTTTGGTCGTTTTTAATCAGCTTGAACAAGCATGAAGCTGAGGCTAGAAAAAGTCTGTCATCAGCTTGAAGCTTTGGTGACAGCACCACAAAGCTGATTTAAACCAGTTGGAACACGTTTTTCTGAATTTGGTCACACGTGGTTTTGCAAATCCCACTCCGTGGGCTTCTTCAAGTGGTTGTGGAATTCTTTTTGCCTCTCCACTGCCCTTGACAATATTTAATTTTTAACAGTGCTCTGGACACTGAGGGTGTTCTGCAGGGATTGTGCTTTGTGTTTTATGGATCCTCCATCACTGCTGCTCCTGTGGATTTAATAAATCCAAGAACTACTGTTGTATTTGTGATGAAGGAAGGAATGATGAATCTGACTCCATGCTCTCAGAAAGCTCATTTATTATTTTATGATACTATATTATATTGAAGAATACTATACTAAACTATACTAAAGAATAAGAAAGGATACTTAGAGAAGGATAAAAAGACAATAATGAAAACTCCTGACTCTTTCCAGAGTCCTGACACAGCTTGGCTCTGACTGGCCAAGGAGTCAAAACAACTCACAGCAGAATCCAATGAAACAATCACCTGTGGGTAAACAATCTCCAAACACATTCCAAAGGAGCAAAACACAGGAGAATCAAATGAAATTCAAATTATTGTTTTCCTTTTTCTCCGAGGCTTCTCAGCTTCCCAGGATAAAAATCCTGGGCCAAGGGATTTTCCAGAGAATGTGAATGCCACAAACAGCAGGGATACCCTGAGCTGGGAAGGACCCACAGGGCCCATGAGCCCAGATAAGCTCAGCAGGCAGTGAGAGCTGTTCCCCGTGCTGCTGTCCCCACTCCAAGCCTGGAGAATTCCCACATTTCCCTCCTCATCCAGCACCTCCTCAGGAAGGAATTCTGGAGCAGGGTCCCAGGAGCTGCTCCCTGTGCAGGGACACTTTGCACCCTGTTGGTTTTACACTGTGGTGAGCCCCAGAGCTTTCCAGGGGAAGCAGGGCAGGAATGGGACAGGAAAAAGGCAGGAAAGGAAAAGCAGACAAGCCCCAAAACAAGTCAGCCATAAATGTTTCCTCACTTTGCACCCAGTGAAAACTGAGGATCTGGAAAGGAGCTGGAGAAACCAACTTGGTGTTTGCACTGCTCTGAGCTTATCCATCATTCAGGAGATTTTTGTGGATAAAGAAATGGAATTTTCCTGTGGAGAAGGATCTCTCATCTGAGGGGAAAAGTCTTATCTGACAGAAGGGAAAATCCCCTGACACTTCCACCTGGTTCTTGGTCAAGGTGCTGAGAGGTTCCCAAGGATTTTGCAGCTCTTTATCAATCAAAGCTCAATAAAGTGGAATTTATTTTCCACCTGGGTTGGATTCTGTGCCAATTCCCCGTTAGAAAAAACACAAATGTGAATTTATTTCATGTCTCACTACAAGGTACCAGTTTTCTGCCCTTTTTTTTCTTGAAGTGAATTCCTGCTCTGAGTTCAGCTGGAACAGATCAAAATCCACTTCAATTTTGTATTTTCAGTGTATTCGTGAATGATTTTTGCTTGGCTTGTTTTCATGTTTTGACAGAAGTTTGCAAAGTCTAGAAATACAGAATATTTGGATTAAAATTCTGTGCTCAGATGCAATGCTGGTGGTAAATTTTGTTAGATTTGGAAAAAAAAACCACCATCATTCCAAATATAAATTCTTGTAATCCCTTCAGGTCTGAGGTTGGATCAATATTTGGTGATGCTGTTGTGCTGATATTTGATAATTCTATTCACTCAATACACTTTTCCTCTAAATGGGAAAGAAAACCTTGAGGATTATTTAAATTTTTTTTTGTGGTATCCAATTTAGCAATCTCATAGATTGATTCAGCACCTTGGCATGAATTTATTGAACTTTTAAGCAAACACAAAATACCCTTCAAATTAAACAGGGAAAAAATTCCTGTAGCCAAATGCAACCACTGGCACCAAGGCATAGGGAAATAAATGAATTTAGGAGCAGCACTTTAGGATTTTGAAGTTCTGGTGTTTTAATTTGAATAATGAATAAGCTGGGACTGTGTAATAAAACCTAAAAGTTGGGAATTCTGCTGGATTTTCCCCCCTTGTGGATCTTTTGGCAGGTTCAAGGCTGGAGCTCAAAGCAGGACCTCAAATGAGGCTTTTTTAATCACCAAAATCCTGTCAGAGAGAGAATTCTGTGGCCAGGGTGTTGCACAGAGCATCCTTTAGAGGTTTTTATGAGAGAATCCAGCAAGGGCAGATCTCTGGAATGAAGGGGACTTCAGAGGGAAAAAATCCTGAAATCCTTGCCCTGGGCTTGGAATTCTGTCCGTGCTGTGATGGCTGCTGGCAGCAGGGGAAGCTTTTTTGGGTGTGAGGGGCTCTGTGCAGGCCAGTGCAGCTGCTCTGGGGGCTGCTCCTCTCACAGCTCTGCAGGTGCTTTCCCAGCTCCCAGCAATTTGGATTTTCCCTCCCCTGTTGCTCCTGCTAGACAGTGGGTTGGTTTGTAAAGAGATTTTTCCTTTGGAGGTTTCAATCAGTTGTGCTCCCTTTAATTCTTCCTGGGTTTCCTTGGGAGGTGAGGAGAGTCGGGATTTCCTCTGAGGAAAAGCTGCCTCTGGTCAAGCTGGTCTCACTTCACCCTAACCAGGGAAAGGCTGCAGTGGGGAAAATCAGCATTTTTAGATCCTATCCTGCTCCAGCTGGGAAATTCCAAGGACAAAGCCAACAGGAGATTTCACTGCCCTCACCCCCAGCAGCTCTGGCACTGCAGAGCTCCCTCCTGCCTTCTCCATGCTCCTCCTTGGTGCCCTTCCCAGCTCCCTGTTCCCAAAATCTCTCTGTTGGGATGAGCCTTCCACAGCTTCACTTTGCTGCCAGACTCTGAATTTATTTCCTTTATTTGGAGCTGGTTCTTAGCCTGGGAAGAGAGAGGGAATAATTGCCTTAGTGCCACTCATGGTTTTGTAGATGTTTATCATAATTGCATTATTTCAGCTTCCTCATTAGGCTTCATGGAGGCTCTTGATGTTATTTTTGGTGCCTTTGTGAGTGTGTTCCCATTCCCACTGTCTCAGACCCCACATCCATGCGGATTTTGCTTTGGAATTTTTTCCACTGGAATTCACAAGAACTTTATATTTGTATAATAAGCTCTCATTCTCTTGGTTACACCAATAAAAATCCCTTTTGGATTGATTTCTTGCTGTCCCACTCCCCTTTGCAGGGCACTGATTCCCTTCAATCAGCAATCCAGCCAGAAATGCAGATAGAACACGGAGCCATCCAAATCCAGTGAGAGGATTGAGGAACATTGGGGAGCTGGCAGTGAACTGCAGCCAGAAATGGAGTGGGAAGGGCTGGAAAAACCTCCCAGACCCCAGAACCTGCAGCCTTGCCCTGCTCCCCCACCCCTGGGATAACTCCAGCATCACTCAGAGGTGCATCACGACACCAATCCACGTCCTGGCCTTCAAAATAACCCCGTGGGCTGCACTTCAATCCACTCAGAGAGGACAAAACAAACCTTTCGTGGGGAGAGGAAGAGCTCTCCTGCATCCAAACTGTGAGACTCCATCCCTGGCCATCCTGTTGGTCCCTCCTGTGCAAATGGAATGTCTGCAGATGTTTGGGTATTGCTGCCCTGCAGTACCTGCTTTGCCACCTAGGGAAAGTTCCAGAGCTCAGATATTTTTCACTGTTGGAACAGTCTTTTTTTTTTTTTTTTTTTTTAATTTGCTATGGTGTTTATAACAAAAAAAAAAAAAAAGGAAAATATTTAAAAAAAGGAAAAATCCCTTGACAGCAAGTCTTGGCCTTTTGCTGGTGTTTTCTGTTCAGTGTCATGAAAACTGTATTTGCAGAAGACTAACACTTTTGTTTGTACTGTTGCTTAACTACTTTTCTAGGGGAAAATGCTTTAAAATGCTGTAATTACGCATTTCTAATGAAAAATAAATGTGTATTTATGAATAGTGCAGCTCTAAGTTGCTCTGCCTTGGGAATGAGTCTGGGTTGGCTGGGAAGGAATGTCCTGGAGGAGCTGGGGATGGATCCACATTCAGCCTCTAAGGAAGAACCCAATCTCAGACCACTTTATTTTCTAAATTCCCAGACCTAGACCCTTTTATTTTCTAAATTCCCAATCCTAGGCCCTTTTATTTTCTAAACTCCCAATCCCAGACCATTTTGTTATCTAAATTCCCAGTGCAAGAAACATGGGATAACTGAATTTTTTGAGTGTGCAAAATGTAATGAATTTATGAAATAGTTTTATGTAATGTGAACAATTCTGAGCTCTCTCCCTTTCAGTTCCTCCTGCCTCCTTTGTCCAGCAATTCCCCAGAGTGGGATCCATCCATCTGAACCCAACATCCAGGATCCAGGTGAAATCCCCTTTCCTCTGGGAAATTTAATATGGATTTGGACAAAGCACCATTGTCCTATTTGCTAATCCTGAGTGCAAAGGAAACCTTTTTGCTGTCACCTGGTTATTTTAATGATGCATGTTTTGGAAAATAAGGTTTGGAAATAGAGTTTGGAAAATAAGAGTTTGATAAATAGGGTTTGGAAAACAGAGTTTGGAAAATAAGAGAGGGAGGTGTTGCTTTGTATTTGATTTCCAGCTGATTTCCCACAGGGCCATTCCCAATATATGGCTCATAATGCATTTAAGGAATTGATAAATGAGGTATGGCCACAAATCCCACGTGTTGGAATCCAGGATAAGTTGAATTTTTAATTTTTTTGTTACCAAAGGAAGGGTTAAGCACCCCCAGCTTCTGGGAATGCTGTCCCTGGTAAGTGTTACACTTTCTATAAATTCCTCCTTCTCTTTAGGATATTTCTTGACACAGAAGCACAATGCAGACAACCACAGCTTGTGGGGCTCGGGGTCTGCAGCAGGCCAGGAATTTGGCTGCTCTTCAGCTCCTTTTTCAGTGCTGTTCCTCAGCCTGGGGGAACTTTGAAGAGCTTGGCACCCAAAGAGAGGCCTAAAAATAAAGTCAGGCCTGGACATTTTAATAATCATGGAATGGTTTGGGTGGGAAGGGGCCTTAAGGATCATCCAAATCCACCTCCTGCCATGGGCAGGGACACCTTCCACTACCCCAGGTTTTTCCAACCTGGCCTTGGACACTTCCAGAGATGGAGCAGCCACAACTTCTCAGGGAAATCCATTCCAGGGCTCCCCACCCTCCCAGGGAACAGTTCCTTCCCAATACCCATCCATCCCTGCCCCCAGTGGGAATCCATTCCCTGTGTCCTGTCAGGTAGGGTTGGGAATTCCTTTCCATTCCTCTGGTTTGTGAACTCAGAATTTTGTCCTTTTTGCATTTTCCAGCTGAAGTTCAGGAGGAGGTTGAGTTCAGGAGGCTTCAGCACTGAGCCAGGAATATTCCAGTGAGTATTCCCTGTCCCCGCTCCCTCTCTGGGGGTTGGATCTGCTTGTCCAGGTAGGAAATGTCTCCAGGAATGCTGGATTGTTCTCCCTGTCCAGGCAGGAAATGTCTCCAGGAATGCTGGATTGATCTCCTTGTCCAGGTAGGAAAGGTCTCCAGGAATGCTGGATTGATCTTGTCCAGGTAGGAAATGTCTCCAGGAATGCTGGATTAATCTCCCTGTCCAGGCAGGAAATGTCTCCAGGAATGCTGGATTGATCTCCTTGTCCAGGTAGGAAAGGTCTCCAGGAATGCTGGATTGATCTTGTCCAGGCAGGAAATGTCTCCAGGAATGCTGGATTAATCTCCCTGTCCAGGCAGGAAAGGTCTCCAGGAATGCTGGATGTTTTTTCCAGGCTGTGCCACCACAAATAAATCATTCTCCAAGTGAGAAATTCAGGGATGGGTTCCCTCCTGGGAGTGTCTGTGAGGTTCTCAGCAGGGTGAAGGCACCTTCACCTCGAGGTTGTACCAGAACCATGCACAAACCAGGAAGAAATCCTGGAAGTTTTGGAAGATAAGGAAGCAGGAGCTCCTGGGGCCCTGAGGGTCTGCCTGGCTCTGAGTTTGGGAGGGTTGGTGTTGGTTCACCACGGATGTGGTTCCATCCTTGAAGACAATTTTCAGTGAATCCCCTAGAAACACTCAGTTTACATCTCCTCTTACTCCCAGTCTCTGCTTTTCTACCAATAACATTCTTTTTCCCTCAGCAAACCTTCCAACAGCCTCATTTTCACTGTTTTTACCTCCTCATACTGCTTCTGTCCAAGAGAGATGGAGACCAAGATTGTTCAGAGGACTTTTCTTGTGGGCTTAGAATTGGACCAGCTGCTTCTTTTATTGGAATTCACCTCATGCCCTGCAGAATCCAGATTTTCCTGGGATGATTTTGGTGAGAGCAAAATATTTTGGCCTTCAGGTTTTTTTGCAAGAGGGTGAAGAACCTCTGGTTGCCCTCCTTGGCCCTGCTGGTTATTTTTAATATTCAGTTCACTAAAGCCACAACCATTTATCCTGATTTTTGCTAAAATTCTCTCAGTGGACCATTATTAAGACTCTTCAGATCATTTAATCTTGAATCCTGCCTGAAAAGAAGAATCCTTAAGGGTTTCCCGATTAAAGCTAAAATATTCTGGTTTCATGGATTGTACAGCAAGAAATCAGTCTCAGAAAAGTGAGGGATGTGGGGAATTTCTTGCCTGCTTTTTCTTCCCTGTTAGTTTTATGTATTTTGTCGTGCAAAACAAATCTATAAAAACCATCACCCTCCTGTGACCCAAATAAACGAGAATGTCCTCGTGAGCTGCATTTTCAGGCATTTCTTTGCCTGTAAAGCAAAGAATTCCATCCAAAAATAAAAAAAGTTGCTCTGGTGCTCGTCTCTGTGGTGGAGCTCCTGCTGTGTGGAGATCCTCTGGTGGCCCTGGGTTTTATTACCCAATTCCATGGATGTGGAGTTTCCTGCTAGAAAAACACCGGGAGAAAACCAATCCCTACAAAAAAACCCCAAACCCTGAACCACGGTGAGATCTCAAACTCCTGTTAGAAATCCATTCTCCTGCCGAATTCCCAATTATCCAGAGCTGCAGATTTGGAGCTGGAGCTGAAATGGGGCAGGAGCTGTTTCCCATTTCCAGGGCTAAGAATGTTCCTTTCATTCCTGCTGATCCCAAAGCTCTGCCGGGAGCTGGGCTGGTGCGGAGGAGCCCTGGGCACTCAGAGCTCATTTCCTGGGATGGAGCTGGGAATGAGGGAATCACTGAGCTGGGAAAAGGGAGCTCCTGCTCCCTGCGCTGCTGCAGGCACACAGCAATGCCTCCCACCCCTCAGGGATCCCAAAAAATGGGAATTTCAGCAGAAGGAGCCGTGCAGAGCCCACAGTCCAAGGCAGGGCTCAACTCTCCTCTTTCTCAAGGTGATTTTTAATCCAATCTTGGATAAAAACCTTTTTTTCCCCATTTATGTCTCATACAAAGTTTAATCCAGCAGCAAATGTCTCCTTTGTTTAATTTCTTTTGCCTTTTTAAAATTCTATTTCTCTAAGTTTTCTCCTCTTTGTTTCCTATTCAATTTTTCCTTTTTGTGCAAAGGAAAAAAAGTCTTCTAGTGATAAATAATAAAATCTCATATTTTGGGCAGAAAATATATCTTTTATATATTTTACCTATTTTATTAATCATATGGATTTTTTGAATTAACCAATAGGCAGGAAAAAGTTCTGTAGATCTGGTCCCTCTGTTTAATCTGTTTTGGGTGTTCAATTAAACTGCCCAGTTCCAGCTCTCCATCAGGTTTATGATGAGATTTTATTTTATATAATTATTATAATTTATTTAATTTATACCATTTTCCAGTAAATGGATTATTCCAGATTTTTCCTGTGAGTTAAAGTGGTGCTGAAACACAACAACAAAAACCTGGATGGAAAACTGAGTTTAGGCTAAGCTTGTGCTCATTGTCCCTCAGTGTTCCATGACCTGGACTTTGATGGGATTTCAAAAAATTACCATAAAAATGAGAAATGTCCCTGCTTCCCTGCCTTTCCTAGGGAACCTCTGGGATTTCTGTTTTCCAGATGCACTGGCTTGGCTGGCTCTGGAGCAGGGAAATCAAAGGGACTTTGCTTTTGGTTGTTGCCACAGGGACAGAGCTCTGCTGCCCAGGGATTGAAATGATTCCAGCTGGGAGTGATGGACTCTGCATTCCCTTTGCCAGTGCCTGGTGGGAAAAGCAGGAAAAAACCTGGGAGGTGTCCAGCACTGCCTGAGTGGCTGAAAGGTATGCTTCAGATATATATATATACATTTAATTTATAGATTCATATTTTATTTATATATTTATATATATTTATATTTTTATATAATTCTATATACTTATTTTATAACTATATGTATTTATCTATTTATTTATATTGATTAATTTAAAATATTTTTAAATATTTATATTTTATATTTATATACACCACATATTAAATATAGGTATATTTATTTTCATATTCACCATATATAAATTATAAATTTCTTTATATATAAATATGAACAATATACAATATATAGTATATCATTTATATATACATAAAATGTATACAATATCTATATTAATTTTTATATATGCACCATGGATACTATATATATTTATTTTTATATTAATACATAATATATACAACATATATTTATTTTTAGATACACTATTTACAGTTATAGCTATAGTTATAGTTATATTTTTATTATAATTTTTGTTTAATTTTTATTTTTATATTTCTTATATTCTATTTATTTCTATTTCTCTCTATTTATTTCTATTTCTATTTCTATTTCTATTTCTATTTCTATTTCTATTTCTATTTCTATTTCTATTTCTATTTCTATTTTATATATTTATAATAATAAATATAATATTATTAATAATATACATCATATTTATTTTTATATATTTCTATATTTATAAACCCCATGCTCTGCTGCATTCTGAATTCCATTAATCAGGATAAACTAAAGCAATTTCAGCCCTTAATTTCATGCACAGGGAAGATG